GGGGGGGGGGATAGAAAGAGAGAGAGGAGGAAGGGAAGGAAAGAGAAAGGGAGAGATAGGAAGAGAGAAGTGTGACACAAGTCTCTCACACTTGTAAAAACTTTAATAATTGCTGTCATGAGTTAGAATTATGCGAGAATACAGAAGAGCAATACTGACAAGCGACGACGAGCTTAAAATGTGCAGACACAGCGGTTAGCGTTTGGTGTACGAATATCATTAAGCGATCCGTGTTAAAAAAGAAACCGGATCGACGACGGTGCGCATTTTACATCGTTTATTATCCTTACTGTCGAATTCGGTGCGGAAACGTGTACACGGCCTATGGTATAGATATGGCGTGAGAATAACGAGATCCGGAAACGAAATCTGTAATTTTTCTTTTTCCATGCCTTTCTTTCGTGCGCTCGACTGCGTTCGAAAACATATCTTTACGATTTGGTCGAGGCAATTGGCTAAAGAGAATTTATGTTCTCAAAGCGAAAGTTGTAGCAACTCGACGAATTAAGTCTCTCTTTGCCAATTATTTTATCAATTAATTCACCAATTATCAACACAAGAGATAGATATGGCGCAAACTGTGAGCTGGAAGGAAGAATATGCCAAAGTTAGATACAATTTACGTTGGTCACAGTAATTGCAACGTCAAAGTTAGGCTTTATGAAGAGAATAAGTCTTTTTATGCTTGTTTCTATTAACGTCGATTAAACCTCAACCTAAGTTCAAATTCTATTCGGATATAGACTTAAACTTAGTTTAAGATTTAAGGTTTAATCGATATTTAGTAAAGACGTTAGAATTTAATTCTTAAAATTTAATTCAGCGGTCTACCCACGATCGACACATACATAGAGAAAATATTGCAGCAAAAATTACATTAAGATCATATTTTATTTTAAATAATTTTTTTTTTAAGTTTTATGAGTTTGATAATATGATATTAATTACGATCTATCGCGAATATGATATAAATTCAAGTAATTACACCAGTAATTTGGTAATAAAAAGTTAAACACGCATAAAATTTTTAAACAAAGTAATTTCGATCACAATTTTTTATTTTCTCAGATTAAAAAATGTTGTTAAATTTTGTTGTAATTTTTACCGCAATATTTTCTCTGTGTACAATATCAAGCTGCGGTTGTGGTAGAAAGTATCGTAGCGAAATGTATAGAGTAGAACGAGAATTAACCCTTTGCACTCGATTTTTCCGCTATAGCGAACTAGCAACTAGAAGCTGTTTTGATAAAAAGATGATGAAATTTGTTACAGCTAACAAAAATAAATTATACATAAATTAACATATAAAACTATCGTATTTCAGTACTATCGGGATTAAACATAAGCAGTTATTGTCGCCTCTCACTCGCTATTCGAGTTGTTGCATCAAATCTGAGAATCGCCTCTCGAGTGCAAAGGATTAAAACAACCGAATTTTCACAGTGCTGCGAATTCGCTTTGATAATACTAATGCACAAAATCTCTTTCTCTCGCCGAATTGTCCCGACCAATTGCACAAATGTTCTCGAACAGGGAATAAGCTTAATTTTGTGTCGTTGTGGTCTTGAACGCAGTCTCCAAAGTCTCAAATGTCTCGAAAGATTCCATTTGTCGGACCAATCTTCTCCTCTCACAATCAGTCAGACTCTGTTTCCGCGCTCCCTTTTTCCCCATTTGGCATAACTGCAGTGACGTGGATATGCTTAGTCGCGCCGTCAGTTACACAACCGACGACAAAGGACAAACGGCGGTACGTTTACATCTCTTTTCTCCTTTTTTCCTTTTTTTTTATATAATAGCTACTATAAGAAATAAGTCCATCTAGTTATTGGAAATACACTTTGGTGTGCAACAAGTTATCGTCGAATTACGAATCATATTAGCAGCAGTAGCAGCAGCCTCTTTGTCAATGTATATGTATGTCAACGAAAAACGCAGTCTTATAGAAGCCGGATCTACGTGCGTATGTAAAAACGAAACTACTATCCATCTATAAGGGACAAAATAAAGAACCACTATCGACAATGATATTCTGTGTATATTTACGAATGCGTCCATCGTTACGAATAAATCCGTGACTCCGATCATACTTCCCGTTTTTCCGAGTGCAGCGAATATGGCAGGAGATAAAGAGAAGAGATAGACAAAAAGAGAGCGAATGATTGTACAATTTCTCAGACCACGGATCCGACTCCTAGTTTGGTGATCGATCGGCACACGTTCGCTGCATACGTAGTAAATAAATATAGTATAACAGATACATATGTATAGAAAGACATATCTTCACCAACATACGCTCGCATTCATATAAAATTTCGCTATTTGATAGCCAAAACTCCGCATTCTCACCTATCAGAGACACACACATCACGAAACACAGCCCCACATGCACTCTCGTAGTGCCGCGCGCTTACTTTGCACGTTGCTTGCTTGCTTGCTTGCGCAGTACACGCATTTATGTTGCTTACATTCAAAGACGAATGCCGGTAACTTTACATTATCGAGAAAGAAGGAAACATTTTACCATCGCTTACAATGCGTATTATAACAATCGTGTGGGAAACAGTTTCTACCCCTGCGACGACTGATGACGCGATATGCCGTATATTTATTTGTTTTTTTTTCTTATGCTACTCGATTACCTCGAGCGATCGATGTATATGTACCGTAAATCACAAACGCGGCTCCCCACGCCCTTCCCCCTCCCCGCCCCGATCCCGCAGTTTCCCTCGCGAGGGTAAAAACGTTTCTACGTAATAATAATACTTAGTGCACGGTGAAAAGTCTTTGAGCGTCAGTGCGAATCACACCGCCTTAAGAATCCTCTAATGATGTAACGATTTCGTTCTCCTTTTTTTTCTTTACTATATATGTATATATATAATATATATATATATTAAGAAATAATTTGTTTCTTAAAAAATACCTATGAATTGACCAATGATTTCTTTTTTTTTTACGTGCACACCGCACATATACTGCCCATGGAGCTTAACGGAGTATTGCAAACCTTTCAACATTCGTACGCGTGCTCGATTAGCGAACAGTACTAGAGGTAACAACGCGATAACTTTCGCTGATCTCTTATTCTTAAAAATAAATAATAACGCATGTCATATACCTTTTTTTCTTTTGGAGAAAATATATATACACAAATTGAACACAGCAATCTCCTTCACTAGTCGAATAATTCCGTCCTACATTAATTTAAAACTACATTAAAAAGGAGATATATATATATGTAACAAACAGTTAAAAACATACAAGAACGAAATAACGCAAGGTTCTCGACGGTTTTCGAAGGAATCGTCGTTCCCTGCCTTCACACGATCAGTCCCGAATAATGTCGCTAACTTGTTAAATATCGTTTAATAGCAAAAGCACCTTTTTTGTTCCTTTTCTTTTTTTGCGCGACAGGCCAATTTAGTCCTCGCTCCCACCTCACTCCGACTAGGTTTCACACGCTCATGTAACAATTTTATACATAGTATGTATATAAAAAAGCTCTACGATATATCATTAATCAGGTAATTATGGGAACACAAGCGGCAAATCGTTAAATCGATACAGTAAAATATAAATGCTGTTCTCATACGCCTCTCTTCCTTTCATACTGCTGCATATTATTTATATGTAGCCTCGATCGTTCAGCATTTGGTAATGCTGGATTCGATTAGTTCGCATTACTTTCGCCTTATAATAAGCATTATAATAGATAAGCCCCATAGGCAGATCTGGAGAGCGATACGCAAAATCAAGTTACAACGATAAAATAAAGCTAGTAAGAATCCCCTCGGACAGGCCTGTCCAAGTTCGTGGAGCGAAGGTAATTCCAAAACCGCTTGCACCACGCTTGTTATCAACGGAAAGGGCGGAACTTTTCGCTCACAAGACCTTGTCCGATACTTGAACGGGTCTGTCGTAAAATGACGCGGTGTGTGAGTTTAGAGTCCTACATATAAATCTTCTTTTTTTTTCACGCTACCCACGTTTATCACAGTCCACGCATGACCCATTTTGTCTCTTAGTATTTGAAGTCCTAAACGCCAACAACTTTTGAGCAATCCATCGGGTTGTTTAGATACGAAACACCCAACTAATCGATAAACATCTTGTGACTAGAACATCATAGAGCGCGAAAGACGAGACCACGGTCTGTCGCGAATGAAGCGAGGACGACGCTTAGTCTAACTTACGCTGCTCGCACAGTTCTTCCATTGCACCGGTTTTTCTGTCGAAAGAGGAGAAACGTACATGTATTATTTTACCTATTTAGTTCACTAGCTCGTTATTTATTAGGTTGATGCTCAAGATTTATCATTTTTTTATTATATGGATTTTCATAGAAAGTTTGGACATTATAAACAAAATAGAAAATTTTTGTTAATCTAAAAAGATGTCAACCTGTATAATTTTATTCGTCAAAATTATTAACCTTTCGAAATTGAGTAATTTCGTTTTTTCTATTTTATTTTACAGATATGACAAACCTTTGTCATCAACCTAATATTTTATTAACTCTTTGTGGACAGGAATTGCGCAAACAAGCAATCTAAATCTGCGCGTTTAAATGAAAGTCGCCTATTGACAATAAAGCATTTTTATAAATTCCAAGAGCCATATTGGTCATGTACAAATTCGTAGAATATGACATATAATCATCTTACACTGAAAAGCAGTTGATATTTCTTGCACTAATATTTTGCTTTATTTTCTTAAATTCAAATTGACTTGTTTAAGCAGACTCCCTTAAAAAGTTAAACGATAAAATATGCGATAAAGATACTTACAATGTTGACATGTAAGAAGTACCGGTGTGATCTAATCGGTGTTTATCATCGTTTTTCCAGCTCGAGACTGGAATATGCGGGGGCGGCAAGAAGCTTCTCAGCGATTGTACAAGTTGTATTGTGTCGACCAATGCTACAATAAATAATAACGAGCAACATGAGAGCCTTTGTCGACTACTTTTACGAAAACAAAAATTATTGTGAAGTTCTGATGTTCTTATTACTTTTTTGCAGAGCCTCAGACTGTTTGCCGTATGGCTTGCACATTGCTGGCCGTACGCAAGCTTTCATTCTCGCCATGTTCTTCATTACTTCTGCGAAAGCGCGTACAATCTTCTCTTGACCACCTGAAACAGCAAAATTAAAAGCACGCATTAATCGCAACGTTGAAGACAAAAAACTGGCCGGAAAAGTGTCTACCAGCGAAGTTATGATCACCTTCCGAACTTGTAGACGACGACCGAGATCCTTTCTCATTTTCTAAAGGCCACGCACCGTTATGCAGTGCCAATAGGTCCTTATTGGCGTTTCCTAGTCCTTGTAAGTTTCCTAAACCGAGTCCACCGAGATTGTCCAGGTTATCCAGGTTAGTGCGTAAAAAGTCTGTCAGCTTATGGTCGGAGATCGGTATATTAGATAACAGTGACTCGTAATGCTGCTTGCCAGATGGCACTTTCTTCTCTTGCGATACAGGCCGATGCGGAATATTTAATGACGGACGGCTTGGAGGACGTTGAAGATTCATTTGATTGCCAGCACTCCTCATTTCCGGTAAATCTGCTGTGGATCCTCCTCCTATGTGCGTATTCGGATTGGTACTGCTCAGCGTCTGCTAAGAAGAAAAACAGGAAATATATAAATAAAATATATAAATAAAATATATAAATAAAATATATAAATAAAATATATAAATATATAAATATATAAATAAAATATATAAATAAAATATATAAATAAGATCGCATATAAATAAAATATACGAATTGGAGTAGCTTTTTTTTCCTTCTAATACCCAAATTTCCTATAAGAATTCTGAATAGAAAACAGATAAATCTTTTATATTAACCTAATACATGACATACATTACACTCACCGCCTGAAAGTCCGTACTGTGCGGGAAACCAGTACGCAGAAGAGACGCAGTCGCTTCATTTTCCTGAATGTAAGTGGGAGCCATATGGCCCATCTTCTGAGTGAGTTCCAGCTGATTTTTGTAATAACGACAAGCCGGATTGGGACAATTCTGCACGACTTCTATTATAAACTCCTTCTCCATCCCGAAGCACTCTCTACCAATGGTGTACGATTCCATGACTGCCCTGACTGTACCCTCCAAGCCCAGATGTAAGCCGTGCGGGCCATTCATATGTTTCAGCATTACAGCATTAGCAAAGTGCTCATAGGGGAGTATTATCTTCCCGTTTTCACGGAGAACCAATCTTCCCTGTGAGTCCAATGCAACCCTGGATGCCATCATTCTGCAAACAAACAACCCAATAATTTGTATAAATACAAGTAATATACATATATACAGGATGTTTCTAAAGTACCCTTGAAACTTATATATATTAAAAAGAAAACATTTTTCATAACCATGATAATAGAAATGAGATAATCTCCTGTTCTTATTCACTAAACTGAGTAAAAAATACTTAAATAAATATCTTATAAACTATCTATCCTATAAGTCTTAAACTCTTCTTTTTTAACACTCTGTTTAAAATTCCATATTATGTATATAACATACTATATAGAGTATTCAAGAGCTAGTGATACAAATGGGAAAGGAATGATTCTACATGAAAAAATATTTCGGAAATGTAGAATAAAAATTTATTATACAAATCTTTTTGTTTTCTAAAAAAAAACAACTTTGAATATTCATTAAGTATATATGCTTAAGGAGTTTAAAAATCATATCACTGAAAAATCCTGAATAATAGAGGAAATCTGTTTGACATAGACATAGTTAAGTGCTAAGCATATGAAAAATATTTAAAGTTTTTTTCTGGAAAAAGAGGTCATGTATAAAAAAATTTATTCTACATTTTCAATTTATTTTTTCATATAGAAATATCCTCTTCACGCTTATACTGTCACTTCTAGGACAACCTATATATGTATGTAAATAACACATATGCATATGTAACTAAATTAATACTATAGGGGATATCTCCTTACTGTAAATAGGCAGCGCTGGGCATCATGGATGCATCCTTGAACTCAGTGAAACACTGCAGCAACTCGATACCAGGATTCCATCCTTTGTTTTGCAAGTATGCTTGTAACAACATGTATATCTTCTCCGTAACGTAACCAGCACTGCTTGGTGTAGCAGGATAGCCTGATCCTCCACCTGGTGGACCCATTTCTGTTTGCATACCCTTGGCTACAATGTTCTTCATAGTTTCTGCCAGATCCATTCTATGTGCAGACACAGTTAAATTAGGACAACTGCATGAAACATGAAAATAATTTCACTTGACATAAGAAAAAATATGAGAACTCTTCCAAGTCAAACCTGACTCACAGAGAGACATATAAAAACATACACAGGAGCATCTCATAGCAACGATATTATTCGATAATCTCATTCAGCCGTTATCCCGCATGAACCCGCAACGACAGAGTTCAAAGCCGCTAGGATCTCGCCAGTGCGACGAGCATCCCGTCGCAGAACCATTCGTCTCGGTAGACGGCGGTTCGACAGCGCAAGAGAGGGGCGGATGGATGCCGCGGTCGTTCGTTCGTTCGTTCTTTCGTCTGCTCGCTCGCTTGCTCGCTCGCTCGCCGTCGTCGTCGTCGGCGGTGTGCACGAGCGGCGGTCGCGTCTACGACGACGACGTCGAGCGCGCTCACGATCTCTCCAACAACACACACGGCCATCATTATCGCAAGCCGGCGATAACCGACAAAAAAGTGTCCGGCCACAGACGAGCCGAGCCACCGCCCCCCTTCTGATAACGCACGGGGGGGAAGAACACGCGGAAGGTACTCTCGGACGTGCACTCACCCCGTGCCGCGGCTACCGCTGACACTCCACTCCGCTCACGACGAAGCCGGCTAGCCCCAGGAGCCCGTTCGTCGTCCTTAATCGCCGCTACTCGGCATCGCCTCTAATTAATTAAACTCCCGGATCACATTTGCACAAATAACATAAATCGCGATAATTATTTTCGCGAGGGTCGCTTGCACGGTCCGCCGCCAGGGGCGCACCGCGTTCTACGCGCTGCTTTTCGGCCGTGTGCATACGCGAGCGCGCGAATGTGTGTGTATGTATAAGTGGGTGGGCGCGTGGGTGTCGCATGGGTGTGCAATGCGTGCGCGTGTCGATGAGCGCGGCCGGGGATACGTGCATGCGTGGGTGTGCTTACACAAGGGCGACCCGGCTGCGCTTACGCGACGCCACTTTGCGCATTTATCAATATTACTTTTTGCAATTGATATATTACGCCCCGTTGCCGCGTCGCGACGCGCCGGTACGCCGCCGCGCGACGAATTAGACCGGCGCTGAGCGCCGCGCCACGACTCCGAAAATCGCGCGCAGTCATTGAACCCGTGTGAACAACTCAGGGTTGGGCGTTTACGCGTAAATTATAATAATCAACATCTATGTGTGGTCAAAATGTAAACTGTATATGACATGTCATCTATGCAGACAATGAATAATCTTTGGATATCGTCTGAAGAATTTATGATTGAAGGAACCTTGTATTTCATTCATGGAGCTTAAAATTATTTTTAGGTTAAGTATAGTGACACGTTTTTATAACATCACGAAGGATCAATAATGAACTCAATGAACTTGACTTTACACTCTCGTAAAAGAAATAATAAATATTATGCTTATTGCGCATATTGTAATCATAAGTTAATATTATTTTTGGTTGTTTAAAAGCTCACAAGTAAATTGATATAGCAATGTCATCGACATTTATGTATTTTATATATAAAGATATAAAGTATTAATTAAAATAATAAATATGTATTTTAATTTGCTGTTTAGATTCTTGATGTAAATTTATATATGTTATTTCCTAAACAAACTAGAGTCCATAGAATTTTCTAGTTACATTTTTCTATGTTAAACGGTTACTGGACAAAATCCATAAAAAAAAGGGACAATGTTGGCCATCTTAAAAGTCTCTAGGTTCCATAAATTTATTTCTGAAAGTTAATATCACTTACACGTTAGGAATATGTATAGAGGTGTAAAAGTTTTCTTGCGTCGCGCGTGGTCAGCTGTGTGTCGCTGGGTTACCAGACAAAATCTATAAAAAAAGAGGTGACAATGTTGGCCATCTTAAAAATTTCTAGGTTCCATAAATTCATTTCTGAAAGTTAATATCACTGTTACACGTTAGCGCAATTCGTTTTCGGTCAATATGGCCAACTCATGAGAAACATTCAATACAGTTCGAACGCTATTGGCCAGCAAATAAAGGGTCTATTAAACCCGTTCTTTCTGATTGGCTAAAATAGTTTCAAAGTCTCCACTACGAGATGTCACTTTCTGCGTTCCGTTTTATGCGTACGCGCGCATTTTTTATAGTAGATGTAACATGAATTATAGATAAATACACGCGATATGTGAAACGGAACGCGGTCTAAATGGAATTAAAGTGCGATATAATTAACTAATGGGATCGATAGTTGCACTCCTCGTTTTATTTTAAGTTGATTCCTGTTGCTTGCCATTTTAATACTTTTGCACCTAATGGCCATTGCACACTGGCTTTTCTTTAGAAAGAAGAATTTTCATTGGATTTAACTCATCGCATCTAGTGTGCAACGGATATTAAGTGCAAAAAATGTCAAAAGTGCAATCAGCGGGTGCACCCAGATATATGTCGTTGGATTGGACCTCGGTTAATCGATCCTGGGGATCGATTGTGTATCTCGAAATGGAATGAAAATTACAAAAGTGAGCAAATTCACTAAGCATTGACCAATGAAGTTATAAATATTCTAGTAAATTTGCTCATTTTTGTCATTTTCACTCCGTTTTCAGATATACAATCAATTCCCTGAGTTCTTAAACTCAAATTCATTAGTCGAACATTTTCGTATAAATTTTGTGATTAGCTAGTTAGGGCTTGTGATGTCATTAATCGACCTCGGGTCGATTAATCTAATCGAATATGCTATATTGTTTATCGCCCTAGTACTAAAAATCAATAACATACTTATATATTTTGTGTGCGTAATAATAATAGAATGTTGAGTTGCAAAGAACAAAACTATTGATTAAAGTTTATTATCAATAAAATAATTTATTTTAAAGTATCACAAGTATTTATGTTTTGTTCCTATGTTTGGACCAAGATTCAATAATATACAGTGATATATATAGTTTCATATAATTATTATATAAATAAATTACTCTCTTCCCTTGTTTACATATCGCGCTGAGGGATATTTTATTTGAATGTGAAAAGGTCTTTTATGGACGTTCCAATATACGTAAAGAATCCAGCGATCGCCCCAAATGACGATGATGCTTGTTGTCCAACACTCGACCTGACTGATTGCGAACTTGTTCTATGCTTTTTCGTTGTCTCTGCAGCCTAAGCAAAAAAATTTAGTATTATAAATTCCAGTGAATTTATCCATATTATTTAATTTTCTTTTAAGAATAATTCTATTTACCTCGTTAGAATAACTGCTATTACTTGGTTTTTCTAAATGTTTATATATAGGTACGCTTTGTTTATATTTATTTTTACAGAATTTTGATTTTATATTTTTTGTCTGGGCTTCACAATCATCGGCATTAATATTTTCATTTCGTTTAAATTTCTTGGTTTTGCTATAAAAAGGTAAACACATATTTTCTTGTTGAATATCATCCTCGTCCGTCTGATTATCCTTTTTAAAGTATATAATATTTGAAGAATCCAAAGGAATCTGTAAAATATAGAAACCGACATTGACTTATCATTATCATATCTATAAATGTAGTGTATTGCTTTTATGTGAAATCTTAAAAAATATAAACTGCTTAAAAAACAGTAATTATTACCTGTTTATCTTCTATATATCTTTTCCTCTTGGTAGACTTTTTTGGTATATCATCTGATGGAAATTCATTGACATTATTATGTCTGAGTGGCTTCCTTGAACTACTTTCCTTTCTCAAAGTCTGTCTACACTCAGTATACTGAAAATGAAATAACACTTCAATATATTTCATATACACTAGCTAAGAGAACTACATTTTTAATAATAGTGTAGAAATACCTTTTTGATTGTACTTTGTATAGACTGTATCCATTCGTTGCTGTCACCCTGTTCCGAATATAACAGGAATGTTTCGTGTAAGCATGTTATGCGGAACAACTTCTTGCTCAAAACGCAAGTTAAGCTACACTTGTTTAGCGGCAAAACGCAAGACACGTTCAGTGAAGTTTCCGGCTCGCCTTTACAATATAGTAACGTATCATTTAAGAGGACAAAGTACCGTTTGTAAGCGGTATTGCCTCGTCTCGAGACGCGCATCAGTGGGCCTTGCTTGATTAGTATTCTGCCAGGTTTAACTAGATTAATCGAAGTAATGATGCACCTTTGGAGATTCAATAGTTTTTGCGTCTCTTCGTTCTGCGCGACTAAACTATTTATGTGCTTTGCAGACTTCTCAATTTCGACCAAGCACGCTGCAGTAAAAATTAAGTTGAGGTCACGTTATAAATATAAATATAAATATATATATAAATATATATATATAATACACATTATCATACACATATCATACACAGTGAATTATTTGATATAAAAAATCTTATTAACATAGTTACCTTGTAAAGGTCTGTACTCTTTATGACCATAAGGAGTATGTTGTAATACTTCTTTAACAAGTAATTGATATCGTGGTACTCTCTGAATCGGTGTAATTAACAAAGAGGGCAATTTTCTACCTACTTCTGGTCTTGTTTCTTGGTCGCATATAAATTTTCTGAAAGTAGGATCACTCTCCTGATTCATCTGAAAAGGCATCAACATTAACAGTTCTGATAATGTTAATTTTGTAAGAATTCAATATTTCAGTTAAAAATCAACAGACTTTTGTGACATTCAATGATTACCTGTAGCAAATTCAGCAGTTGCATATAATCATAAGCATATACTGAATACAACTTGAAGAATGGCGCAAGTTTATGAAATACTTCAGCTATATTGTCAGGATTATGTTTCAATCCTGTTACCAGCTCTCCACTCACATTATACAATGTTTTTATGTTCTCCAATAGAGTGACAAGTAGTGGGTGATTCAGTAAGTTTCTTTCAATAATAGGCTGTATAAAGAACTAACAAAATATTTATGTTAATGATAAAATTGTAAGTAATTTATGATTAACAATATATTGTAGTTTACCTCTGCTAAAGTTTCCAATTGTCGCAAATAGGTAACTTCAGTAGTTAATATCTCTTGAATGGCTTGTGATCTTAGAGTCTTCTCTCTTACTTCTGCACATTTTTCGTTATCCTCATTCAAAGCATGCAATACTAGAAATATCATGAGACTTTGAGAAAATAGTTTGAGAAAAAACTACTTTGACATAATAATAATGTCAATGAATTTCCATTGGATAATATATAAAAAAATAAATAAATAAAAAAAAGAAAAACTAAAAAAATAAACTAAAGAGATATAGAAAAGATATATAAGATATAGAAGATAAACAAGTAATAATTACTATTTATTTCAACAAGTTGCCTATATTTTTTAAATATCAGTATAAAACCACAGCATTGCATTAGTAAATATATAAAAGGTGGATACCTTTCATCCTGCTCCGTGTACTTAACATATTTCTTTCATTTATGATTTTTCTTAACTCTGAGCTGAGACTGGCTTGTGGCGACAATGGTGAATACATAATTGTATTATAAATTATGTACTATTTGGGTTTATCTGGAAAATAAAAAGATATATGTAATGTCTTAAGAGAGAATTTTATTTTATCCCATACAAAAAATAGAATAAATTGATAATACACACACAGGCAATACTTGACGTATTTTCTAAAGAACTTCACAAATACAACCTGCCTGTTGTTTCGAAATTTATTACTAATACTGAAAATGTATAGAGAATTTATGTAGCGTATTCTATATATATTCAATACCGGCGAGAAGGTCGGGACGCAGTTTTACTAGTTGTAGCATTAACGAAAATTTAAATGGCTTGGCTACAAACACCTGTTAATGGGGACTTCATACCGCTTCCTATGCAGATATGCGACATTTAAATCCCCAATATATCAGGAACTTATAGCGTTTTTCATTGGCAAAACTGGTGCGCACTAGTGCGTACTAGCCGCGGACTGCGTTCATTGGAGATTTCAATGCGCACGAAGATCGTGTATGCTGTTCATTGGTAAATTTAGTGTCGAATTTCCGCATTTTCGTGCAAAAATTTAGCACGAGCACCAAGAAACGGTATCGGTTGCGTGCAAAATATGGCGACATGATATCAGTGAGTTATCGAGTGTTTCAATAAGTATACAAGAACTTGCCCTAGTGATGCACTCGAACAATGGTTGCGTTCAGCAGAGAAAGCTGCTTTGCAACTGTTGTAAAATTAATGAATTTGATTGGTACATGCTCTTGAATTCAACCAAAATTAAAAGCATACTGCAATCAGACTCACGAATTTTACAACAGTTGCAAAGCAGCTTTCTCTGCTGAACGCAGCCAATGCCATTTCGTACTCCACGAGTTCCTAGTGCGCACTCAGTTCTGCCCAATGAAAAACGCTGTTAAGCTGAAGTTCCATGACATGTATTTTCCGCGTACCGCGTAAGCGCGTAACCAATAAATTGCGACATTTCTAGCTCTTACGGAAAAGCAACATATTGATTGGTTGTCGCGCGGACTTCCGCCGCGCGGCAAGCATTACCGCGTCCTGTGTGCAGGAGCCACAAGCGGAATCAACAGCATGTAAGTAAAATGATATTTTATTAAATTTATGTTTTATTACTCGTTTTTATTATTATGTATATAAATATTTAATTAAATGTATTTTGTATTGGAATTATTGACTGAAAACGTTAAAATCTATTAAATAAGTTTTAAGGCGGTTGTAACTTTTTGAAATAATGATTCGTGATTGGTTGAGCAAAATTCGTGATGTGCTTATTCCGCTCCATGGACTGCGTTCAAAAACTCTCCTCGACGGGTAGAGTAGCATTTAATTGACCAATAAAAATAAAGATAACTAGAATTTCTTTATTACGATTGAACAATTAAATGTACTCTACTCACCGAGTAGAATTTTGGAACGCAGCTAAGAGAACTTAAAAGCTCCTGTTTCAATGCTAAAAAATGACGGATTTGTACATATATATTACGCATTCATTGTTAAATTTATGGCATAGCGATTGTGTTGTGCTGAATATTAATAAACTTGGTCAGTTGGATTGTTTGTTCTTCTTAATTTCAGTTTATATGGGCCTACACCTATTGTATGATAGAAGTATGCATATATTATGCAGTCTGCGAGAAAACTATTCCGCAGAAAACTATTCCGCTAAAAACTGCTGAAAAACATGGAACGCTCGTGAATGATTGCGCTCTCGTTCCGCGCTTCGTTATTCCGCTGTATGGGTTTGCACCCTTAAGGCTGATATTTCACGTGTCGTACGACAAGCTTTTTGGATATGTTCATTGGTTGACGAACAGAGAACCTAAAAATACTTTATTCGCCAATCAATAAACGTATCCGAAAAGCTTGTCGTACGACACGTGAAATAGCATCCTAAGACTGGTTTATGATGGCCGTAATTTATTAACTTATGTCGGAACCGTAAAATATTGACCAATCATAGTCGATTATTCTTCTATTAGCATGTCGATTAGCTCTGGGTTAACCCACTCTGGGTTATTCAGCCTATGTTTATTGGTCAAACAAGTACTTATAAGCTTTATGATTGGTTAGTAGAGACTTATGACGTCATTAATCGTTCTCAAAACGATTAACCCAGGGTCAGTCGAACACGCTACATAATTCATTCTCTATTGGAAAGTAGTTCTTTTATTGGATATTGGACATCAGACGTGGTGTGAAGCCTCCATAAGTTCTACCAAAAATCTCACTTGACAAACCGGTTGGTATGCCTGTGCGCGAGTGTGTATGGTGTGTAGTTGGATTAGAGGAACGCGATTTATGCTACATCAAAACATATGACGGTGAAGTGACAGTTTTACGAGTATCGTATTTATGAATCAAGTACGCGTAACTTTATCGCAAGCTTGAGTAATATTGACGAAAGACAGAACGGTGCCGCCGAGATTGTTGCGTTGGTACTTGTATTGTGATCTCGTCACGAGGTATGACGTGCCAGATTTATTGCTGAGAACATATCGCTAAAAGCACACTTTACCTCGCCGTCGCGTTTGGTGTACGTATTTATCGCACGAAGTACAAGAGGACAGTGTGATTGGCGTTTAAGTGTAGCTATTGATGAATGTATCACCTCATTTTCGACTGAAAAATTACGTAACCAAACAGCGTACTTTGTCACTGTTTGCATGCAAGTTTTTATGCGCGATACTTTACCCTCAAGTCGGACGTATTCAGTGTGAATGAAGAAAAGAGAAGAAAGCAACTTCGCACAGTTAAATTCCCAAAGTAATATCCTCGTTAGTTTCTTTTCTCGTCTCGTTCTCCAAGAAATTCAAACGTCAACGTCTGGAGTAGATAGGTTATGAACTATCTACTGTTTAGATCAGAGTATTATTTCGTGTCAGTAGGAATAAATCTTTTAACTTAAGAGAGTGTTCTGTGCTAGAGGTCACAGGAGTTGTGATCACAGTTGTGTGACAAAGTATAAAATCCACAAACAAAAACTGTACCTTTAGATTTGCTTACAACCAATCTTCAATGTCCAATTGGATATCAATTGGATCAGCTTATGTTAACAGACAATTTGTTGTCTGTTTCAGGATGCTTGTCTCAACAGTTACTATTGACAAATGACATATACTTGAATATTTGCCGCAACATATGGTACATAACCTGTGTGTAAATACCCACTGAACAGAGCCTTCTGGAAATTGTTGTTTTACTGCTATCATACATATTCCAGTAGTGAAGATTGCTATTTAGCAGGAGCAATTTATGTAATACTTCAAAATGCCACAAGGAGATGGTGCTGCAGTCGCAGTGCCTAATAATCAAAACATTGTTGTGCCTCACATTCCTAGTCTGGCTGGTGCGATAGGACCGGTGTTAAATAACAATAACATGAATATAGCTAGAAATAATAATAATCAAAACCCACTGATTAATGTGCGGGATCGATTGTTTCACGCGTTATTTATCAGAGTGGCGCTAATGTACGCACGAACATTTCCAAGGCCTGTCAGGAGATTTATAGAATTTATTGTGCTTTTAAAGGTATGTTTCTTTAATATTATATTAATTTTTTAATAATTTAGATACATTGATTTTTAAATATCAGTATTTTATTAAGAAAGGATTATATAGTACACACATACTGAAAGAAAATTATTTTAATATTTATATAAGTTAAATTGTGTGTTATATGAAATTATTGCTCTATAAAATATAATTATTGTATAAAATATAATTTTAGATACATTTTCAAATATGATCAAATTATATTTCCAATATTTTTTTCATATATAGGATCTGTTTTCTATTGCTGAATTGGCTGCACTATTTTTCTCTCATCTCTTTTCCATCAAATTTTGTCTGTATATCTGTTTCTTTTTAAGTTTTGAAAGTGTATACTAGTTCAGCAATAGAAAATAGACCTATAGAGTACACGTAGTTATATTTCTCAGCATACTGTCTTGTACTTATTTTGAAGTAACATTTTTTTAGGACTATTGCATAGTTTGTGTAATTCGGGATATTGTCGTTAGATATGACAATTGTACACGTTTGATATTTTAGTAAAATTATATTTTGAGGAATTACCTCGATATCGCTATTTTGTTATTATAATTTTTTGGTACAATGTCCTACTTTTTAAATTTTGGTACATTTTTGTCGGGACAATGCATGTCCTCTTTCTATATACTTTAAAATGCATTTGATTAATAAGAAATGTGAAACAATGAAAACATTCATCTCCCTAAGAATTAGTATTCCCTAAGAAGTTTTCCCTAAGAATTTCTTATAAAAGTAATTCTTCTATGTTGATAGCATTTGAAAACACATCAATGAAAAAGTCGCCTTTATGCTTGTGATTGTAAAAAATATTCATAATTATAAATGATTATGAGTAAGATTAATTACGAATAAAATAAGTATAGAAATAAGTTGATTAAAATAGAAATAATAGAAAACATAAGAAAGCAGCAAATATTGATAAAGTGTTTCGCACAATTTCTTGTTGCAGGCTATAGTGGCATTTTTTGTATTGGCTTATATCCATATAGTATTTTCACGAGCACCAACTAATTGTTTAGAGCATATAAGAGATGAATGGCCACGAGATGGTATATTGAGAGTCGAAATTCTTAAGAATGGCGGTGATGATTACAATATAGAGAAAAGTTATGCTAAAGAGGAAAAATTGAAGCAAGACAAAGTTGATGATTTAGTTGGCCCTTTGGAAATATTAACTAGAGATGGGTAAGTTGTACGATATAATAATACAACAATCAATATAAGTATCACTAGATTTATAAGAGTATGTAAGTATGTGCTGTTTTAAACTCAGAATTAATTTACATTTGTCTGTCACAACAGATTTATAAACATTGAACCTTCGGCCGTAGACGAGGGACGAGATACTGTGAACGTCTCTGACGAAGAGAATCGTGGGAATGTAACATTACCTCAGCAAGATACGATTATAAGTAGTCCCACAGTTCCTGGAGAGGTAGAAAACCCTAATTTAAGTACAACGAATGCAACGATGAACCCACCGTTATCCACCGTACTTTGGAGCGGTTTAAACGTGGCCAAAAAAACGGTACGTATATCTCCTGATCTGAGAAGATGTTGATTATCTAATAAAATAATGTAACATATATTTGAGGATAGTATCTTTTGTTTCACACACATAAGTATTTTATGGAGTTTTTCCGCAATATTTTATCGGTTTATAATAAAAAAAACAACTTACATTTAGTTACTCTTGAAAAAAGACATTTAAATTAGTGATAAAATAATCTGTTTCAGTTATCTGACGAAGAGTTGTCTTTTGCAAAAACAGAGGGTAATTCGACAGCAGTACCTGATGCTAATAGCTCGACTGAAGATAATGTTATAGAGCCGTTAAAAGATCGCACATTGGACGATAAAACGACTAAAGGTAAATATATTCAATGAAGTATACTATGCATATTTTGGTTTAAATATAGTTAATAGAATAGTATATATATTTCCTGATATTAGTCTGAAGATATTGACTAATGAAATAATATATTTCGGAATAATATATTCTATATTTCTCTCTTAAGTATTTTTGCGATATTTTATTAGTTTATAATTAAGAAAAAATTTATATATACGTAGTTATTTTTTTAATACTTAAATTAGTCTAAGCAAAGCGTGTAAGAAGTCCACGACCGTAAATTTTTGTCTGTGAAGATTTGAACGTAATTAATCGTGTTTACTTAAACCCTGTCAGAATCTTAATTTTATTTTTATTTTCCATAATCCATAATAGTGTGTTCTTCATGATTTGTACTTTCAGAAGATGGTTACATTGTGGAATATTCGTTAGAATACGGTTTCTTGCGATTATCGCCGGCAGCTCGACAAAGACTAAATATCCCGGTGAAGATTGTCACTTTGGATCCACTAAATGATAAATGCTTCGGCGATGCCTTTTCACGAATGATCCTGGATGAATTTTTGGGCTATGATGATTTGTTGATGTCAAGCATCAAAACTCTAGCTGAACATGAAGACAACAAAGGTTTCCTACGGTGAATGACTTTTTTAAAATATAAAACAATGTTTGGCAATAGAAATGCGCTAAGATATATTAATTTTTGCGCTATTAACGATAATAACGACGGCTATAGCCACCGCGAATCAATCTCTACTGAATATTCAACTGACAAGAAACAATCTTCGTTTTTCGTACAACATGATTTTTTAGCCAAACATTTTTCCGTACCGAATAGATTACGAATCGATAGACATCGAAATGAATAACGAATCAAATTCTTCAATTTTTCACTTATAGGAATGTGGTAACCGGAGAACATTACCGATTCGTCAGCATGTGGATGGCGCGAACTTCCTACCTCGCCGCGTTCTTCGTCATGCTCGTGTTTGTAAGTGTTTAATAATCTTTTGTTCCATTTATTTTTATATATACAGTTAAAATTTGTGTTCACTCGTTTATAATGTAATACAATATTATTTTATTACATATACAGGGTGAGCCATCTAACGTGTTAGATTCTAAAATATCTTTGTTTTTTTTTTTATATTAAAGGAAAATTTGTAAAGAGAATAAGTTATGTGGTTGGAAAGGTTGGCTGGTCACAATAATTATCCTTTTTAATTATGCAATTTATTTCTTGCACATTTTCTTCTAATACAAAAAATAACATATTTTAAAATTTAGTGTTAAATAACATCTTATGTGTGTGTGTGTGTATACGTAGAAGATGTATACTTTTCTTCCGCCAACACTAAATATATAGTATTATTTCTTATCGAAAATTAAATTATAAGTCTTGAATCATTTTTTTCTACTATGCTTAATAAAGCAGTTATTTTTAAATAAATTCTAGCTAATCAGCGCCGTCCTTCTTTTTATATAGGCATATGCTGTGAGCCGCACAGACTGTTTAGCGGCCGTCTAAAGGATGACGTTTATCAGCTGAAATTAAAATTATTATAAAATAACTACTTCATTAAGCATAGTAGAAAAGAATTTGCTGATTTAGGATTTGCTGATTTAACTTTTTATAAGGAATAACACAATGTACTTAGTGGGCGAGGGAACGATAACACTTTGTATATACACACACGCAAAGTAAAATTTATTTATATATATTTATAATTATATTTATTTTGTATATATATATATATATATTAATTTTTTATATAGTTTATATTATAGTTTGTGATAGCAAATATTTACGCGCAAACAGTTTTGTTCTCCGAAATTTACTAATGAAATACGAGATATTATATAATTTATATCGAAAAAGTGTTTAGTACTGCTATTTGTTTTTGTTTCGGATCCTCCTGTTTGATTCTTTCTAGTGATTCATCATTAGATCTCACGTTGTGTACATATATCTCAGGATGCATCGGCTTATTTGACAACAGCCTATTCGTCGGCAGACCTGAATTGTTCTTGATTTGCCACAAAACAATCTTACGGTGATGCGAATGACTGTACAGCGGAGTATACGCCGTATAATACCTAGAATATCGAACGTGTTCTTGTTTGATATGTCCTTTTTCGGTGATAATAAATTCCTCGCCATCAGAGGAATGATTTCACGCGCACCTATACGATAACCTTACACGTGTAAAGCGATACGGCAATCAATTCAAGCTAACCATCCGCTGAAGTAACCAGCGCCTAGTCTTCCTATCCCCCCGTGTACTCATCCTCGCGCGATCCCTTTGGAGTTGAACCGTTGGCTATAAATCAACGTTATTAGAGGCATCGTATTCGTCGTAGCGGCCCCAAGTCGGTAATTTTGTATCAAATTGTGATGAAATAGATTACAGCACACCGCGGTCGAGATTGTCGTCACCTCGCGAAATCTCTAATTGACGCGATGTTTTTAATAAGCGCGTAATTTAACATATATTGCTGGTCTTGAATTGCTAGCCTTTCCCGAACTTAATGATACACGACAATAAGCTAGAGACAATAAGCTAGAGAGAGATAACAGAGAGAATTTTATAAAAAATTTATCGTAGAATCTTATATAAGCAAGGAATATATTAATATTTTAATTCTATTCTATTTTTAATTAATATTCTAATTCTATTCTATTCCATTTAATTAATATTCTAATTATATTATATTCCTTTTTTAATCTTAATATTCCACTTACCACTTATTGATTCATTTGGCAAATCCTAGATATCTTAATACGTCCACTTACCACTCATTGGTTCATTGGCAAATCCTAGACCACATTGTATTCTTCTCTTTTTTACGTAATTGTGTATAAGAGATATAGTTTGTTTACGTGGGTACGTGGGAAGGAAAATTATGACTTGTATATATGTGATACGCTGGTCTCCTGTGAGAGATTGATGCGTCACACATTTGTAACACTCTGATAACGGATGTATTATACTAATTTATTATTCTCTTTTTTCATATGTGTTATTCATATTTTAAGAACTGAAATCAATTATTAACCCTTTGGATACTACGTGTCACTATAGCGGATTTCCTGCTAAGCGATCCGTTTAGGACGTAACGCCAGTATAGTGGCTCTCTTTTAAAACTTGCATTGAGATTCAGTGTATAGCTTCTCATTACTAAGCAGTCGTTTGCTTACTTCCTTGAACATTGTAAATATAAATTTTATTAATTAGCAATTACGTCATAGCAAAGCAGATACAATGTATTACAAAGTAACAAACGTCGGTCGCACTGCTATGGTCTATTGAATACGTTTGGTGGAGAAGTTGTGCGTACAGTCATTTAATTAAGATTGCATAACATTTTTTCTCGATAAATTTTGCAATGCATTATTTATTAGGAAAAAAAATGTGCATTTTAATAATTCTCAGAAGTTATATTTTCCTGTGAGATACGGAATTCGTTACAAAACTCATCGAGAAAAAGTGTTGCAATCTTTGATTAATTGACTGTACAGCGGTAGGTTTCTGCGTTTAGATTAACCGCAACTACAAGTTTAAAAGAATATTATGTTTGTTAGCAAGATAATCTCTATTGCTCGCATAGAAAATTTCTTGTGATTTAATTGGGATCTACTCCGATTTCTCCCAAAAATTGCAAGTTTCGTTTAAAAGTGTAATGTTTTGAACATGCGACTCTTTAAGTGGAAAATCCAAAATTTTCCAAATATTTTTGTTTTAATCTTTATTTTTAATTAAAATCGAACAAAATATATTGATTTTCCAAATTTATTATTTCAAACTTATTATTCTAATTTTATATATTATTCAGTAAAATATTTAAAATATAAAAATATTTTATTTAAGGAATTTTTATTTTATTAAATATACATACATACACATATATATAATCAGTATAAAAATGAGATTCATTGTGTGATATCATAAAGTATACTGACGTTACCAATTGAGCAAAATTCTATATTCTGTTTTCATAGTATTTATATTTCAATTCTAGGTAGAGAAATCATATTTAAAGCAAGAATTGCCTTAAAGATTCCTAATTGATATCGTAATGGGATGTGCTTGTAAGACAAATTTAAGTATTGTAATTGGAATCTATATTGTATCTGAGAAAATCTTGAGAAATTTTTGGCGACAGTTTATTCCTGCATTATCAGAAAATATAGTAAAATAGAAAAGAAGTTATATAAAAAATAATAATGTTCTCTCCGTGTACAGATTTCTTTGTATCATTGTTACGGTAATACACGTGATAATGCGAAAAAACTATATGTGGAGTGAATATTATATTTCTTTTTTCATATAAATCTTTAATTTTACTATATTTAATAAGATATATCTCTTGCTAAGGGATATAATAAGTTTTCTTAGAAACATAACATATATTTAATAGTACATTTCAATTCCTATAATATAAATAGCACATATGAAGTGAAAGAATAGTCAATTCGTACAGAATATTGATCTACTCCTCAGTTACAAAATTCTACAGTAATTTTTACTATAAAATTTTCTCTATATAGTGTTTATATATACGGAGAAAAATTTTTATATATAAATTCTCTCCGTTTTTTTATATATATAAATTCCCTTCTCAATTTGACTATGTTTCTAGTGACTTGCTGTCAGCAAAGTTTATGTTGTTAAAAAACATAATAAATTTCGCTAGAAATTTATTAGCAAGTTTTTCAACAACACAATTCAGAATTTCTGAAATATAATTCTAAAATACGAATAACAAATATGAAATGAAAGGGCAATCAGTTATTTATTGCAGAATGTCGATCGATTCTTCAGTTACAAAATTCTACAGTAATTTTTACTGTAAAATTTCCTCTGTTGTAATGTTTGTGTAGACGGAAAGAATATTATAGTTTTTTTTTTCATATAAATTCTTCTCAGTTTTACTGTTTTTATTATGTTTCTAGTAATGCAAGAAGAGACTGTCAGTAAGACCTATCTTGCTGAGAAATATAATAAATTGCGCCAGAGATATAACAAATTTTTTAACAACACATTTCAAAATTCAAAACACATTTAATAACGCACACTTTAGAGCAATGTAGTGTAATTTTAAAATATAAATAGCACACACACACACACACATACACACACACACACACACACACACACACACACACACACACACACACACACACACACACACACACACACACACACACACACACACACACACACACACACACACACACACACACACACACACACACACACACACACACACACACACACACACACACACATATATATATATGTATGAACTGAAAGGACAGTCAATTTTGCAGAGTGTCGGTCGATTCCTTGATTACAAAATACAATTATAACTTATAACTTTTACTATAAAATTTTATATTACTATAAAACACTCCGTGTTGATGCGTTCACCGTTTCGTTTTCTTTCCTTTTCTATTATTGAAATTTTATCGCCTTAACAGTCGAAATCGTTTCGTTTCCGGGGGGCGGTTGCGTTGCGACAGTTCCTTGTGAATGCATCCTCGTCGAGTATGTTGTAGTCGGTGGATATGTGTGTGCGAATTCGCTATACGGGGTTATACGCCTCGTGACTCTGATTGCCGTTCAGCGGTGAGACATTTTGTTCTTTGGACTGGACAATGCGGTTCGCTTTGCAGCGCGGAGCGATACCGATCGGAGTTTATCGGGTAGTAAAAGGGGAGTCGTCGGCGACGCGGGGGCAGGGGACGGCGAGCATTGCGCGTCGCTCGTGCCGCGACACGTGAATTCGAGCCCCGACTGTCTGGAGGGCTCACCCCCGTCAGCCATCCCCGCTGGTCCGTCGTCGGAGTCACGTGCACGCGACTGTCGTCGTGCACGTATCACCGTGTGTATCTCCTCTGTCATGTGCATGCGACGTCCGGCGCTCTGTTACAATGTGATCCGGTATGAATACTATTCCCTCTTCCTTTATCTTTCCTCCTAAAGCGCTCGTCACACGATCCTCGATTTTGTGAATGATTTCATAAGATAAAAGTACCAATACCCGGACATGTACCTAATCCTAGATATTCCTATTGTTTTGGTCTTTAAATACAAATATTTAAATTTCTAATATAAAATATATACACAAATATTGAGTACATGTATACATTCTGTTAAAAGTTTAAATATTCGTATTTAACTCTTTGAAGCACACATTTTTCCTTTTCTTTTATATAAAACTTGATATTCGAAGGGTTTTTGGAAGTACTAATTACGAATCTAAAATCGGAATTAAAAAATTTTCAAAATTTAAGATGGCGGATATAATATAGAGGACTAAAATTGCAAAAAAGTTAAATAATTTACGTAAAGCTTGATATACAGGGGTTTTTGAGATCACTGATTACGAATCTGGAGTCAGAATTGGAAACATTTCCGAAATTCAAGATGGCAGATCCAACATGACAAACTAAAATTACTATAAATCCTAAAAAATAAACAATTTACTTCAAATTTGATACTTTAGAGTTTTTGTGGTCGCTGGTTACGAATTTGGCTCAAAATTGAAAAATTTTTTAAATCCGAGACCCCAAAAATTCGAGATTCCGAGCGGATCCCAAAAATTTCGAAAGGAAATCATTAATAATAACTAATTTACTTAAATTTACACACTTTTGAGCCGCCATATGTAGCTAATCTTCGCGAATTTCGAAATTCTGATTTCAGATTCGGAATCAGCAGACCAAAATATAAAAGGTACAAACTTTTAAGGAAATTGGAGTTAAAATAGTACTATTTTTTTAATTTTGGCAAGTGTAACATATATGTTACACCGTGCTTCAAAGGTTTAATACTAATATAATAAGAATGTTCAGGATTAGGTCCGGGAATTGGTATTTCTACCTTATTTGCCTCTGTATGTTTGCGCGTTTGTCGCTCACATCCGCTTCCATCTTCCGGAGACTCGTTTGCGTCTCTTATATCGAATTCGATTGACTATGTGTCCATCCGTCTGTCCGTCAGACTGTCGTCGGATTTTTATCATAAGAGATGTCTATTAGCCGCAACACGCTCCGACAGAGGAGGAGGGGCTCGTACGAATTGCGGGGAATATTGGTTTAACGCGAATATTCGCAGGAATAGACAAGTAATATCGAGTTTATCAGGAGATCTGCGATCCTGATCGAAGGAACGAAATTGGGATGGATGTTTATTTCATAACAGATTTCCGTGTCTCAATTTCTACCGTGATAGACGTTTCATACGTCCAGCTTCGCACTGACGACGATATTTTTGACACAGTGTGTCGTGTTTAAATAAGTAAATAATTTCACAAATTGTTTCATTCGACAAATGAACAATTAACGCGCTCCAGCGACTGGAGACGAGAATCTCCGAATTGTTTTTGATATTTGAAACCTTGAGAGCCGGGAACATCGATTCGCGTCTTCAGCGGGTTGAAACGCGGTAATTTACATTTATAAATTCTGTTTTTCCCAGACGAAATTTACATTAAATTGTGTTTGGTATCTTTTCACAAAGAATAATATTTTAATGAATATATTATATTGAAAATATTATTAGAGTAATCGTATTAGTTGTATATGTTTCAATTTCTAGTAAAAGTTACTATATTGAGAAAAAAATAAGAAATACCTATTCGATAGGTGCTATTTACTCAAAATGGGTAATAGCATGGGTAAAGACTTCAAAATTCATCTAATAAAATTATATATCGTTGCTTATACATCAAACAGTGATTGTTAAAGAAATTGTTGTTAAATTGTTGTTAAATTGTGAAAGAAATTGTTTTCAATGTAAAAATAAGTATATAGTACAAGTAAATATGCAAGTATATATTTTATTACTCAAAATAGGAATATTCCTTTTTCTGTATATATTTTCCTGAAATCATTACTTTTTTCATAAAAGCAACTGATTATTTTATTTAATAGAAGAATTTAGATTTAAGTGAATATGTTATTAGTATTCACCGCGAATAAATATTTTTTGTTTTTCAGATTTTTTTTTTCTTACAGTATATATATATATATATATATATATATATATATATATATATATATATATATATATATATATATACACACGGTTCGCAATGTGTTAGTACATCGACATTATTCTCTAGAAGAAAACCGACAACATGAGCAGTCCTTTCTTTTTATTTTATTTACTTCGTTTCTTCTTACTCTTTTTCTTTCCTCTGCTTCTCTTTGCTCTCTTCTCCTTCTCTTTTTTTAATAACATCTGCGTATTCGTATATAAGGTGGGATCGAACGACCCCATTACTGCAAGGCTGGCTGTTGCAAATAGTGGATTATCTTCGAGGGTGTCAGGTGCTGGTTCAATCTGAACCGATCGCAATTCAATTTCAACATTCGCTCAACCCGCTAACCGACTACGAGCGACCAGTTCGCAATTTACGTAACTTTGTCAAAGGTACTCGCGTAAAATTTCAGAATATCCGTAACCCATAATGCGGATTGACGTTTTTAATCAACGTCAATCGCGTCCCCGCACTAATTGCAACGAACGCGTCGCCAATATCGCGTGATTTCTATCAGGACGAGAATTTTGACAATGGGTTTTCCGCTCTTTTCTGTTTCAGACGGTGTCGATTTCAATGTTGCTGCGGTACTCGCATCACCAGATCTTCGTCTTCATCGGTGAGTGTCAAAACAGATACATCAGGCTTTCTCAGTTTATCTGCGTGTAGAATGCGCTGCCGGATCGCGTCCATTAATTAACACGGAATTGTCGTTATAGTGCACAACCGGCGCGCTTAAAGTGATTATCTCGCAACAATATTAATCATCGAAAAGTTTAGCCACGATGAAAAGGAAAAATTGAATAATATACAAGGTGTAAATGAAATATACAAGATGTCCGACAATTCGTTATGCAACCGCAGTATACAGGAACTCATTAAACTGAACACACTATTCCTCTACCATTTCGCAAACAACCATGTAAAATTTTGAGTTATTAATCAAAGAAGATAGATGAATGATGAAGATAAGTAAATGCGCGTGATTTGATGAATAAGCTGTGATGGTCATGTCTACCGTCGCTTATACATTAGATCGTGTGCTTATACATTAGATCAAACTGAAAAAGAAATTCTTTACTGTTTTGCAAATGACTACGTAGATTTTTAGTTATTAATTAAAGAAAATTGGTGTATGATTATCCGCAATAATGCATGAATCTTTTTAATTAATAACTCAAAATTTTACGTGGTTGTTTGCAAAATGGTAGAAGAATTTTGTGTTCAGTTCAATAGGTTTTACCTGTATACTGCGCCTACATAACGAATTGTCGGACATTTTATATAACATCACATATCTCTCTCTCTCTCTCTCTCTCTCTCTCTCTCTCTCATGCTCTTTCTTTCTCTTCCCTCTCGCATCTCGTACGTGCATGTACGCATACATACATACATACACATAGCTTATCTCACATGTTATAAAGTACGTTATCTAATATTTTTTAAATTAAATTGAAAGTAAAAATGCGATACTATCATTAGTATAGTACAGGGAAGCACATGTTAAAAACATGTGTAAATATTTCAATTTTCAAGTGGTTTATCTTTTTTCTAATTGCGTAAGCAGTCAAACAAATTTTAATTGATATTTGTAGTCAGAGTTTCAGCGAATTTTTAAGATATATATTTCACGAGACAATTTTATCTTAAGAATTTTATCAAGTTTCTGATTGGCACAGAGACAATTTTATCAAGTTTCTGATTGGCACAGAGACAATTTTATCAAGTTTCTGATTGGCACATTTTGCTTTTGAGTTTTACCTTCATTATTCAATCGAACAACGCTCTTTGTTTCCTAATGAATTCGGCTACTCAAAATTCACACGATTTTGCGAATATGTCGAAATTATTACGGACTCGTTAGCTTAATTGCAATCAATTAATTAATCAGATGCTTATAGAGCAGCACGCGTATCTTTTCGTGATCTTTTTCATGCGAATTCTGGCAACAAGGTGGATTTAAAGTCCATAGATTTATCAGTGGCGACAATTGAATGAAGATTCTTCAAATACAATAATTTGAGTTTTTACAGGCTATCTGTGCATGAGTCATCATTAAAATGCAAAAATTATTGAGACTAATCGGTGAATCTTTATCTACTCGCAGCTAGACATTGAAAAACATTTACTTTTGCACAACACGATTTAGCAAGCTCGCTATGAAGTCACATAAATTTTAATAATATTAATTTTATTATCATATATAAAGGACGCGCATTTAAAAGAAAAAAAATATTTCGAAAAACATGTTTAAAATTTCACGATGCGGAATTGTTGTACAAGATAAATATTTACGCTAATTCACAGTTTCTGATGTGAATTTTGAAATCTTTTATCGTTTTCATCACATAATGAGTAATACTTTAATTAATTTCTGCACATTTTTTCATTGTGTAGAAACATTTTGTAATTCTGCATTTTATAACCAATACAATATAAACTATTCAGAAAAATATTAGTATTTTTAAATACAATAATGTATTTTTAAATACTATATGTTAAAATAAAGTTTTCAAATATGGCATTCCTTTAAGAGTTCTCAAACTCTCTCTGAAACTTGTCCCATATGAAATGTTCGCCTGTATGAAGTTAGCCCCCCACTTTTCGAATTTATTAATTTTGACAGTTGTGCTGATTTGTGCTAGGTTTGTGCTACATTGTGCTCGAATTATAAATTTTTAATACGAAAAATGAGCGAGAAAAATGGAAAAAACCGTTTTTTTTGGTAGCCCCCCACTTTTTGATTTTCGAAATTTTTTTTATTGTGCTAGGTTGTGCTAAGTTGTGCTAACATTGTGCTAAAGTATTATCTTCGAAAAATAATCATAAAAGGAATAAAACGAAAAAAACGATTTTAGGCAGAAAAGAAGAAAAGTAAGATTTATATTCGTATAAGTCAACCATACAATATA